ACGGCCGCCTCCCTGGCCGGCCGTAATACTTCGTATAGCATACTATTATACGTAAGTTATACGGAAGGGGATCAGGTCGCCCGCCTCGCGCGAGCCGCGGCTGAGGCTGTTGAGCACCGCCTGCCGGCTGATGTTGCCCTCGAGCGCCACCTGGACCACGCACAGCGGCTCGGGCAGCCCGCCGCCGTCGCCCGGCTTGAGGGGCGCCAGCAGCACAAACAGGCGGTGGCCGGGCGCGTCGCTCATGAGCTGCAGGTCGTTTGGCGAGTTCTTGTAGTGGCTCGCCACGTAGAGCGACATCATGCGCTGCAGAAAGACCTCCGAGGCCGGGTGGTAGCTAAAGAGGGCGTCGCGGTTGACCATGTACAGCTCGCACGACGACGGGTGCGGGCAGCCGCGCGCCTTGAGCGCCGATGCCGACGTGCGCGACAGGGTGGCGTCGAGGCAGAGGAGCTCGTGCAGCCACGACTCGATGTTGTCGCCGGCAGAGTAGCGGATGGGCTCCTTGAGCTCGACCTCCTTGAGGCTGCGCGCCGCCAGCGCGGCGCCCGCCGCCCGCCCCGTGCTGAGGCTGCCCTTGGCGTCCTTCCTGCCGGCTTTGGAGCCCGAGGCGCCGGCCGACGTCGACGACGACGAGGTGGCCGCCAGCGCGGTGCTGTCGTCGTCGTCGTGGTCGCCCGTGCTGCTGGCGGTGCCGCGCGCCGCCTCGCGCAGCTGCTGGATGAGCTTGAGCGACAGGCTGCGGCCGGTGCCCTCGTAGCCGTTGATGGTCGACGAGAGAAAGACGAGGTAGGGTCCCATGAGGTTGCGGACGAGGGGCAGCGGGATGGCGGCGGCCTCGTCGATGACGACGAGCTCGGCCTGTCCGAGCACCTGGTGGTCCTGGGGCTGGATGTACTGGATCGTCTGGCGGTGGCCGCGGAAGATGTTGACGCGGACCACGACGTCCTTCCACTCGCCCGTTCCGCGCTGGAGGTCCCAGTCGGCGACCTCGTCGTAGCCGAGGGCGTCGAGGCCCTTGAAGACGAACTCGAAGAGCGTCTTTAGGTTCTCGGGGCTCGGGCTGGTGACAAAGATGTTGCTGTAGCCGTGGGCGACGGCGGCGGCGATGCAGAGGCCGAGGGCGGCCGACTTGCCGCGGCCGCGGGCGGCGGTGAGGGCGACGGTGGTCGAGAGCGACGAGCTGGCGAGGATGTCGAGGATGGTGAGGACGGCCTTTGCCTGGTCGAGGGTCTTTGCGTGGCGGACGACGTCGCCGACGACCTTTGTCTCGCGCACCTGGTCCTTTAGGTTGGCGAGGTCCTGGTCGGCGGCGATGCGCTGCTTGCCCTTGCGGACGCCGCCGCCGATGCCGCTGCCGGCACCGCTGCCGCCGGTGTCGGTCTCTGGAAGGGGCTGGATGTCCTTTGCGCGGCTGAGGGGCAGGACGTTGAGCTCGTCGTCGAGGAGGAGGGTGTCGGGGGAAGCGCCGAGGGAGAGGAGGAAGCGCTCGTTGAAGCGTGCGACGGGGTCGTCGTCCGAGGCCGAGGAGCGGTAGCTGCGGTGGACGTCCATGCCGAGCGAGTAGAGCTGGCGGAGGCTGGTCATGGTCTTGAGGAGGAGGAGGACGACGCCGCCGCCCTCTACGGTCTCGATGGTGCGGGCGAGGAGGTTGGGCGTGATGGCCTCAAAGTCTTGGAGGACGAGCATGCCGTAGGTCTGGCCGAGGACCTTGGGCGTGTCCTTGTAGTAGCAGTAGCGGATGTCGGTGAGGCTGACAAAGAGCTCAAAGGGGGTGCCCTCGCCCTTTTCGCGGATGCCGCGCTTGATGTCGTTTTTGATCTTTTGCTCGCGCTTCTTGCGGTGCGAGGTGAAGCCGAGGTCGCGCTTGTAGCACCAGAGCACGTTGGGGCGGCTCTGTACGCGCGACTGGGCGAGGAGAAAGTGGAGATTCACCACCTGGTCCCTGGCCTTGTCGCCGACGAGGACGAAAAAGGAGCGGTGGTTGAGCGCCACATTGTTGCGGATCAGCGTGGGGATGCGCGGGTCCAGCTGCTTCCTCATGACGGGCCAGGCGCGCGTGCCAGCGGCGGCGGCAGTTGCAGTTCCGTTGCGGGTGCAGCGGCGGTCCGGTCGAGGTTGCGGTTGAGGACAACGGGCGGTCGAGGTGGAGTCGTCCGCGGAGGCAGTGCCACAACGAGTGAGCCCAAGGGGTCTGTACCGCGGCGATGCAGGTGCTGGGTGGATGATTGAGCGTCCTGCGGGTTGCCAGATGGCGTCGTAGGCAGTGGCGGTGGCGGTGGTGGTGGTGGTGGTGGCGGTGGTGGTTGTGTCGAGGCGAGCAGAGAGGGAGAGAAGCCGCCGCTTGCCTCTGGGCCCCGCCGGTCGCGGCCAAAGGGAAAAATTCCAAGCGGCCACTCCCTGAGGCCGGCATCAGAACCCCTCGAGGCCAGCCCACAGGGTGGGTGCGAGAAGAAGAAGAAAAAACAGGCTCGGGACGCGGACAACGCTGCTCAAAGAAAGTCGCCGGGTCGGCCAGGCAGCGTGTGGACAAGTCGGGCCCCAGTCCAGTCCAGGCCAGGCCAGGCCAGGCCAGCACTCCTTCGGCCATCGTCTCTTTCAAAGGTCAGACTGTCCATTACCGATGCGATGCGATGCGATGCGGGTATCATCAGGAGCAAGTAGGAGAAAGAGAGGGGATCAAGGGGGAAAGAGCATGCCTACAGCCAACTCGCCAAATGAGGGGGATGCCGCTGCTTCTGCCCGTCGTACACGACCTCGGAGCGGCGAAGGCACACGACGACGGCCGCGTGGTGGCACTCGATCTCGTCCTCGTAGCCCACGCCCATCCGCTCGCACAGCCGCCGCACCGCCACCGCAGCCAGGTCCTCGTCGGCCATGGCCTTGATCCGCTGCTCGACATTCTCCCGCAGCATCGCCGCGTACCCCGACGTCGAGCGCACCCACTCGGCCTGCCGCCGAGGCGTCGTCATCGTCACCCCGAGCTCCTCGGGCGTCCCCTCGCGCCGCGCCGCTCGCAGCACCGACTCGGGCATCCACGACGCAGCTCGGCTCGCCCCAGTCCGGCCCGTCGCATTGGCAGCGCGAGTCGCAGCGACTCCTTCGGCGACATCGTCGTCGAGGCCGTCCCACCCGCACACGGGCTCGTCGCGGTCCGGATCGTCAAGCGGGACGTAGGCGTACGCGCTGCGATCCCACAGCCGCGCAAGCCGCGCGTCGCCCAGCTCCCACGGCATCGGCGCGTCGGTGAAGAGGCCGCGCGGCCCATACGCCCGATCGATCCGCTCCCGGTCATAGTACCGCCTCAGCTCCGGCTCCAGGTGCCAGAAGCCGCGCAGCCAGTCGCGCAACGGCTTGAGCCTCCGCCCCGCCTCTCCAGCGCCGTCGTAGGGCCCCACGACTGGCCGCATGCCAACGACAAACAGGCTGCCACCGGGGCGCAGCAGCGCTGACCACCGGTCCCAGACGGACAGCGCACACCTGCGCGACGACGTCTCGAGCCAGTGGAAGCAGGACCCGAGCGTGATGACGTCGAGCAGCTGGCTGCCGGCGCTCGCAGGCAGCTGCGGATCCTCGCCACGCCCCACGCCGTATTCGATGCGCGAGGGGTCGTCGACGGCGGGCAATCCATGCCGGGCCAGCTGGCGCCCGTCGAGCTGCTTGACGACGTCGGCCAACTCCACCATGTGCGCGCTGGCGTCTTGTCCAAACACGCGGTCAAAGCGAGTGGCAAGGTGGATGGCCAGCTGGCCGGGCCCGCATCCAATGTCGAGCGCATTCTCCCAGCGCGGCGATCCCCTCTGCGAGCGGCCGCCGCGGCCGTCGTCGCGATGCTGTTGCTGCAGGCGAGGCGACGGCAGCGATAGCGGCGACGAGGAGAGCGACGAGGGGTCTGGAGACGTTGCACCATGCGCGTGGTAGGCAAACATGGCGTCGATGGCCGTCTGCGGGTAAGGCGTCCTCGCGGCGAGGTACGAGGCTGCATCGTGCGACTTGGCCGCCCAGGCCGACGTCAGCTCCGGCGGGGCCATGGCGACCGCCAACTCGAGGTCGACGTCGCGCCCGTCGTCGTACTGCAGGTAGATCGAACTCGACCGCGATGACCCGGGCGACGAGGGCCGGGACGTTGGCTCGGAGGACGGGCAAGAGGACGAGGATGCGCCGCACGAGTCCGGCAGCGATCGGGGCCAAGGGGACAGACTGCCGTCGAATCGCTGTCCGGCGCCTTTGCTCGGTTTCCCGAGATCGCCTGCGCCATCGAGATCGTCAGTGCACTCCAAGCCTGGAGCCTGCGACCGTTGATGGCGCAAGTGGTCGAAGTGGGCGCTCGAAACGCGGCGCATCCTGTCGACGAATGAGCTCAGGATCCGTTTGGGCGTGGCCCGGGCGAGCGCGGGCGAGAAAGTGGCGGATGACTGAGGGAGGGCGAGACCGTCCTCTTCCCACTGATGGAAGTCGGACAGGCTGCCGAAGGGTTTGCTCGCGGCTTGGGGGCCGCCGAGGCGGTGCTGGTCCTCGTCGTCGTGGAGGGTGTCGCAAGTGGCGGAGCGTTGCTCTGGCAGCGACTGCGACGTTCCTGGCCACGCCGTGCGGGGCATCAGGAGGACGGTGAGGGCCTTTTCGTTGAAGTAGTAGGTGTGCACCTGAGAGGTGCTGGCGCGCCGTCGCTCGTCCCTTGCGGCGGCGGCGGCGGCGGCGGCGGCGGCAGCAGCAGCAGCATTGGGCCGAGCGGACCTCTTGGCCATGGTCGGTGGCTGAATCAGGCTGCCGGACGATGTCGACGGTGTCCAGGGGCCGGATCGATGGATGTCAAGATGGCAACGAGAGGTGATGAGGGGTAGCGGGACGGCGCTGAGAGAGGGAGGGCTTGTGGGAGGGCATCAGTCGTGGCTGCGGTCGTCGTCGTAGAAGGTATAGCGTTTCGGTTTGGAGCCAGTCAACGGCCGGCGAGGGATTGTGCAGAGTCGTCTATCTGCGTTGGCGGCGGTGCGCTGAGAGGTGAGCTTGAGCTGAAGTGGACGTTGGTCGGATGATCCTAGGAGGAGGCTGGCGTGTGACGGTCTTTGTGTTGCTAGTCTATTGTTGCGGTGCTATTGTAGGCTTGGTGCGGTACGTTTTTGTGTATGTAGCGTGTCGGCGACCGTGCGAGGCAGGTTTCATGTATTTGGCCGGCGACGTCGGCCAAGGCGGTGGCGGTGCGAGTGCGGGGGTGGCAGGTGGTCCAGCCTAAGCAGGGGAAAGGATGCAGTAGGTCGTGTCGGGAGCGGGGGCGTTGGCAGGGTGGTGAGGGGCGGGATTGATGGCAGGAATCGAGCAGGTGGCCAAGGGAAGGCTGCTGGAAAGGGGGGTGGGGTGATGAATCGGTTTTGCAGGGACGGGCAAGGATGGCTGAAGTGCAGGACAGGAACGGAGATGACAGGGACAGGGACAAGGACAGAGACGAAGAGGAAGAGGGCGATGCGGCGAGAAGAGGCTGAGTAGTGGTGCAGCTGGGCTGGGCAGGGTGATGGAGGGCCAAGGGTGGTGCCAGGCTGACGGCTGGGCGTACAATGGTGCGGGATGACCGGACGGTGGTGGTGGTGATGATTAGAGCGACGCAGGTGGTGGTAGCGGTAGGTGTAGGACAGAGTGGCGTAGCGTCGTGACGGGAGATGGAGCGAGCAGGGCGAGGACGATTAGGATTCTATCGGTGCATTAGAGAGAGTGCGTGGTGTTGTCGTCTGCTTGTCTGCGGTGGTTGCATGTGAGCGGGCAATGCAAGAGGAGGGAGGGCCAGGAGAGAGGGGCAGAGAGAGAGAGAGAGGCAAAGGGGGATGCGGCGCTGATGGTGGTTGGTGCGGTGGCGCAAAGGGGTCAGCAGCCGGCACCAAAGAGGCGCCCCCTCGCAATCTTAATGGCGCCCGCTCCCCTGGCGGCCATTTCTCGAGCGCACCAACCCCGGCGGCGCTCGGACCGCCGTCGTCGTCGTCGTCGTCGGCGGGGATGCGCTCGAGCGCCAGGCTAGGCCAGGCAGGATAGGCCTACCTCGTCTGGCCTCTCGCTCGCGGGCCTGCTTCGTCGCCGCCGCTCGTCGATGGCCAAGCTACCGTACTGGTAGCCGGCCAAGACGGCTTCACGCAGGGTTGGCTTGAGCCGTGACTGCCGGACCAGCAGGTACCCATCCTACGCCCTTTGGTGCGGCTTGCCTAGTCTCTGGCTTGCTTGCAGCCTGCTTGCAGGGGGCCACGTTGGGATTTTCAGATGCAGGGGCCGCCGTGCCAAAGCCAAAAGGGACGACGCCACGCCAACAGGCCAGGCCTCTCTTTTTGACCGGCATCAAGAACTCGAAACGAGCCCCGCCACGAAGGCCTGGCAATCCGCGTCCCCACGCCCGCCCTCGTCCTGCCTTTGTTGGCTCGCCATGTACGTACCCACGCACCAACCAGAGACGCACGCTGTCGAGATGCAATAAGAATGGGCCATTCGATGGCGACGTCGAGAGCCGATCACGCGCCACGAGGGCCACTACTGGGTCACAAGTCAGACGACCTGCTTGCAACCAGCTAGAATCAGCGAGACGACCACATCCACATCGACAGACCAAGACCAGTCGAGCGACCGACGTGTCCAGCCACCATGTCGAGGCAGGAGCGAGGGAAAAGGAAGCGACGAGAAAAAGAGCGACGAGGAGGCATAGACGCCAGCCAGACACCGTCGCGACGTGCGCGCGCTGCGCGACAAGCCGCTGCCCGCTGGCCGCTGCTGCTGCTACCACTTGCCACCACTAGTGGTGGTCGTAGCCGTGAAAGTCTCCGCCAAGGCGCACGCCCTTGAGCGTACCCATCTTGGACGGGTCCGTGACATCCTGCATGCCCGGCTTGGGAGGCAGCACGTTGGCACTGTTTGGCGGCCAGCGCGAGGGCGGGCATGGTGAGGGAGGTCAGCGTCCCCTCCGTCGCTCGCGCCACCAGCGGGCCATCCTCGCTCGTCGAATGGTACTCACACATACTCGCCCGCGACACCGCCGTAGGTGTAGTAGCTGCGGAGACAGAGGGGCAAGAAGAGAAAGCGCGCGCCCAAGGCAGAGAAAGAGGCAAAGAGGGGAGCAACGTCAGCCACTGTACCGCATACGCACCAGCATCCCCACACGTCGTCGTCGAGGCCAAGATACTCGCTGACACACAATGAAGTTGCCTTTTGGTCCCAATCCCGGCATCTGCATCTGATCCTCGCTGCAGGCGGCGTAGGCGCAGCCGATGCTGCTCGTCGACTTCCAGATCATCTGGACAAAGTGGCCCGCCGCCTGGGCCGGGTGGCTGTCGTCGACCTCCTTCGTGTAGTCGTAGCCCTGGCTCTCGCTGTACCAGTAGTCGACCGCCACCGAGCCGTTGCCCGGCGGCATCGAGCCGGCCTCGAGGCACTCGCCCCACTTGAGGACGCCGTCGCTGCCGTGCGCAAAGTGGCACCGGTTGGCCCAGTCCTGCGCGCTCGCTGCCAGCGTCGCGTTGTACACCAGGTCCGGAGCGCCGTGGATCCGTCGCTTGGCGTTGTGCGCCGCAATGATGCCCTTGTTGAAGTCCATGGCGCTGGGCCAGTCCGCGTCGCCGCCGCCGCTGCCACCACCTCCGCCGCCTCCGCCGCCTCCACCACCGCTGCCGCTGCCAGAGCCTCCTCCAGCACCAGAGCCGCCTCCAGAGCCTTCTCCGGTGCCGCTGCCGCTGCCGCTGCCACTGCCACCACCGCCGCCACCGCCACCACCGCTGCCACTACCACCACCGCCGCCACCACCGCCGCCGCTACCGCTGCCGCTTCCTCCTCCAGCGCCAGAGCCTCCTCCGGAGCCAGAGCCTTCTCCAGAGCCTTCTCCGGTGCCGC